ACTCATTAAATCCAAGATTTTCAAATTCAGTGCCATGATAACTTCTATCACTAGTGATAGAATAACCTTTTTCGTTTTGGATTACTTTTAAAAATGTGATGAAATTTTCTAATGCTTCATCTTTAGTACTTAAGAATATAACCCAAGTATATCTAGAATAGTCATCTACCAAGACAAATGCATATTGTTTTCCACCCAAACTAGTAGTCCTAGTTGGCCCAAAAAGATCTATATGGATCAATTGTAATACTCTACTAGTTGATACGTCATTAATGGATTTAAAAGAAATTCGCTTTTGTTTTCCTTTAGCACAAGCATCACATATTTTATCATTATCAAATTTAAGCTTAGGCATCCCTCTTACTAAGTCTCCTTGAATTAGCCGTTGCAAAACACTCATACTAGCATGTCCTAGTCTCCTATGCCATAACCAACTATCATGTTCATTCTTAGCAACTAGGCACAAATTAGTTATATCAATAGAATCTAAATGCACCATGTATATGTTTCCTATTCTATGACCAACAAGCATAATCCGATTAGATGCAATGTCAATAACTTTACAACCATTAATTTCAAACATGACATTGAATCCCTTATCGCATAATTGACTAATACTCAATAGATTATGCTTTAATCCATTCACATATAACACATTTTTAATTTGTATGGAAGAGGTATTACCTATAGTACCAATACCTTCAATGTGACCTTTTGAATTATCACCAAAAGTCACTTCTCCTCCATTTTTGGCGTTAAGCTCTATGAATTGGCTTTTGTTTCCGGTCATGTGTCTAGAGCATCCACTATCAAGGTACCATGAATTTGGATTTGTTTCTCGTTCCTAGTAGTAATGCTCCTTTTCCTACAAACATAGATTAATTTCTAATTTTTGGTACCCAAATTCTTTTGGGTCCATATTCATTAGTTTCTAAAATCATTGTCCCCTTTGGTATCTATTTATGAAGGACATCCTTATCTTTAGTAGTAATGAATTCTTTAGGAATCCATATACTCCTAACAATTTTACCATTCAAGGTTCGTTGAGGACTTCTATGATTGTAGCTTCTAAAACGTTTCTTAACAAAGTTGGATTTTGAATTCTCACCTTTTTCAAAACTTGTTGTTCCAACCTTATTAAAAGAAGTTTTAAGATCATCAATCTTCTTTTGATGATCATCATGAACTTTTGAAAGTAACTTATGCAAATCAGTATTTTTCTTTTCAAAATCATTAATTTTGATTTGCAATTCTTTGATCTTACTTTCAAGCTCATTGTTGGTCTTAGATATAAGACTATTTTCGTTTTTCAATTTTGAAATATCATTTTTGTATTTTGAAAATAGTCTTATAATCCGAAGCCAACCCATTATAATCCTCTAATAACTCATCATAAGATAATTCATCCAAATCGAATGAGTTAGAGGTTACCTTAGAATCTTCCCCGATAGCCATCAAGCACAAGTTTGCAACTTCTTGTCCCTCTTCATCGAAACCTTCTTCATCGCTCCATGTAGCTACATGAGCCTTGTGTTTTTTTTTTTTGGATTGACCCTTTTTCTTCAATTGTGGGGAATCATATTTGACATGCCCCGGCTTTTTGCATTCATAGTAAATGATCGGGTTTTTCTCCTTCGATTCAGTTTTGAAGCCTTCATGACGTTTGAATTTTCTTCCTCGGTTGGGCATCATCAACTTTCTATATCGTTTGGTAAATAATGCCATTTCCTCGTCATTTGAATCACTCTCATCTTTTGTGGATTTGAGAGCAACTCCAATGTTTTTCTTCTTCTCCTTCTCCTTTGGTGTCTCGTCAATGAGTGAGAAGGGAACCGATTAGTTCTTCAAGAGTTAAGGACGTTAGGTTCTTAGACTCGATGATTGTCGTCTTCTTTGATTGCCACGATTTTGGAAGGGAGTATACTAACTTCCTCACAAGCTTTTCATTTGAAATGATCTCTCCATATGATTTAAGACCATTGACAATCGTTGAAAATCTATCTGTCATAGCTTTGATATCTTCATTTGGTTTCATTCTGAAATTTTCATAGCTATGCGTTAGAATACTAATTTTAGATTTCTTTACCTCATCGGTACCTTCATGAGTGACTTGCAGTTTGTCCCATAATTCTTTGGCGGTTGTACAAGATTAAACTCTTCCGTATTCATCTGGTCCAAGAGCACAAAATATGATATGGATGGCTTTGGAGTTGAGCTGGAACATTCTTGTCTCTCCTTCACTCCGCAATCTTGGATGAGTGAGAGGCTTGATGTATCCTTCTTCTACGGCATTCCATGCTCCCATGTCACTTGCTTGAATGAAGTACATCATCCTATTTTTCCAATAGGCATAGTTAGCCCCATTGAAGAAATGAGACTTGCTGACGGGCATCGAATCGAGACCAGAGTCGAAGTTTGAAGTAGAGGCCATTGATGACTTTGATTATCGATGTAACTCTTCCCGAATCGACTCAAGAGGCGATTAAACCTTCAAATGAGTTAGACTCTGATACCAATTATTGAGTTAATCGATTGACAGAATCGGCCAAGAGGGGGTGAATTGGCAATTAAAAATTTGGTGAAAGCTTTTGCAGAAAATTGAAAGTAATTGCACATCGATTTAGAGTGGTTCGACTTTCTCAACCAAAGTCTATGTCCACTACCTTAGCTATCCACACTAAGGATTTTCCACAAATTCACTAATTTGTCTTTCTTTTGAGGACAAAGAGTAACCTTACAAATCCTCAAGAATTATACCCCAAATTCTTGAGAACACTCTCTCCCAAAGAGAACAATACAAATTTGCAAACTTACAAGGAAATCCTCACAAGGTAGATTGTTTGCACAATTCCAGAAAAAAGAAAAGAACGCTCAAGAAAGAATACAATTGAGTACAAGTAGTGTTCTTGGAAGAAAAATGAATATTGAATAAAAAATAGGCTTGAAATGCTCAAACTTGAGGTTTGATGCTTTCTCTTTGATTCTCTCTTGATTCTAGTTGCTTGTTGTTTCTTGTTTTGATCAATGGCTTCTAAGCTTGTTTAAATACACCTTGAATCACTTCTGAACGTTGAGGATGATTAGTGGAGTCAATAGAGTCGTTATTGTGTGAAAACAATTAATAAAACTAGTTGGGAGTGTCGGTGCATCGATGCATGACCATAGTGCATCGGTGCATCAGTGTAAAATTCAAATATTTTGATCGTTGGAACACTTAGTGCATCGGTGCACCAAGTGTGCATCGATGCATAAAATGCATTCGATGTTTGAAAATAGCATGAGTGCATCGGTGCATTGCTTGTGCATCGATGCATGAAATGCATTCGATGTTTTAATAAAAACCCAAGTGCATCGATGCATAGAGAGTGCATCGATGCATGAAATGCATTCGATGTTCAATTTATTCAATGGTGCATCGATGCATGGATTGATGCATCGGTGCATGCCTTTGAAATTTTGATTTAAGACTTGATTTTGGTTCAAAATACTTTGTGAAAATTGTTTCAAAAATAGTTTAAGTACAAATCACAATTTTACACATTTAGTAAGGATTAAAATTTATCTTGAAAGACTTGGAGTAATAATTTGATATCCGATTAATTAATTCGAATATACCTTAGAAAATCATTTGTAAAATCTTAAAATTCATTTAACTTAATTTGTTATATCGAAATATCAAAATGTTTTCAACAAAACCTTATACATGCAGACTTCTTTACGGAGCACTTAAATATTATGGCAAAATAGCCCATCGTAAATTTTGATCAAATAATTACTTTAACTTTTATTCTTTTTTCTTAAATATTTTAACTCTCAATATTTAATTTTAGGATAAAACTAGGGATGGCAATGGGTTGGGTCGGGTCGGGTTTTTGGGCCACCCGACCCGACCCGAGAAGAAAGGGTTTTTCACCCGTGACCCAACCCGACGAAATTAAGGTTTCACCCGACCCGACCCGACCCGAAATAATAATAAAAAAAATTTTATTCAATGAAAATAGTGACTTAATTAAAAAAAATTATATATGGAGGGACATTATTGTAATTATCCCTAAATATATAGGATAAAATTATATATATTTTTCGGGTCGGGTCGGGTCGGATTTTTTTCACCCTAAACCCGACCCGAACAGTACATTTAAAAAAAACCCGACCCGACCCGAACCCGAACCCGAAATTTTTTTAAAAAAATCCGATCCGATCGGGTCGGGTCGGAACCCGTCGGATTCGGGTTGAGTTGACATCCCTAGATAAAACCCCTTATTTTAGTGTATTAATCATTTATTATTTATTAAGTAAGAATTTTTTATTTATAGAGAAATCTTTTTATCCCAAAAAAAGGACTTAAATGCTCAAAAAGAAAGTAAATATCTAAATAAATATTTAATTAAATGATAATTTTTTTACATTATATATTTCCGTCTTGTCCAATTGACGTTTGGTTGAATAGTGTAGAGTAGGGCTATAAACGAGTTGAGTCGAGCTCGAATATTGCTGAACTCGATTCGAATTGAAAATTTTGAAATGAAGCTAGACACAACTTGAAAACTCGCGAGCCTAAAATTTTCAAGCTTGACTTGATCTCAAAACTATGAATTGAAACTCAAAAAATCTTAAAATAAAAAAATATATTAAACTTAAATCAGTTGAAGATCAAACTCGAATTCGAACATGAATCTTAAATACATTTATATTGTATTTAAAAAATTAACATATAAATATTAATTTTATTAATAAATTTAAAATTTACTATATTATTTTTTCTAGTAACTCGTAAATTTTTCTAGCTTAGTATGAAGTATATCATTTTAACTAGTTAAAAACTCGAATAGGAGGTTGTCTACCGACTATGCGAGAGAGGCTTCCTTCGGGCACGTACCTAAGTTTGTGTGAAGGTTTGTTTGGTTGGGAGAATATTATTAACACTGTTTCCAAACTGAAAAAAGTAATAAATAACCCTATAACCAAACATACAGCCAAAAGCCCTAATACGCAACAAAGCCACGTATAAAAGAACTTGTAAACGGGAAGGGCCGACTGGGACAAAGAGAGAAGCAGAGTTGGGAAAATGCAGATATTTGTGAAAACCCTAACGGGTAAGACCATAACCCTGGAGGTCGAATCCAGCGACACTATCGACAATGTCAAGGCTAAGATTCAGGATAAGGAAGGTATGCGCTTCCTATATGCTATAGGAATGGAATTTGTTGATGATTTTATTTGTGGATCGGGTGGATTCGACGGTTCGGGTTAAAATTTTGTCAGGTATCCCACCTGACCAGCAGAGGTTGATCTTCGCCGGAAAGCAGCTCGAGGATGGCCGTACTCTTGCTGACTACAATATTCAGAAAGGTACATATTGGTCGTTATCAGCCCTGAATTGATTGTCGATAAAAAATTTACTCAATTTTAGACGGAAGATATTACAATTTAGAAGTATTTTTGTTCTATTTTGTTCCATTTTGAACTCCGAATCGAAACTGTGGATATTTTTGGATAATGTTTACCCGTTGAGAAAGTGATAGAAGTAGCTGAATAGGATTTTATAGCAGTCAGTAGAACTATATTAGCAGTATTTAGATGATTTTATAGGATCTATGTAACGAGAAAAAATTGGTTTCTTGTTTAGGATGGAAATTAGGATGTTGAATTGAAAGCTTGAGCTCCTCCGGTCCTCCCTTCCTATACCTGATGTTTATTCTAGTTTTATGTTTATGTCGATGTTTGAAGTGATTTTTTGAGTTGAATTTTGTAGAGTCAACCTTACATCTTGTTCTGCGGCTTCGTGGTGGCATTATCGAGCCTTCTTTGATGGCATTGGCTAGGAAATACAATCAAGACAAGATGATCTGCCGCAAGTATGTCTACACTTCCCTCTTACCCATAATTTTAATTGTTTAATAATCTTGATTTGCAAAGTTCATTCGAAATGAATTGTTCATTGGTGTATCATCTTTTATATCTTGTATATGCATCTTGTTAAGACTTTCCCTAGGCATCTTGCCTAACGGTAGTGAATATTGACATTTAGTTTTGGGGGAAATAACCTTTTTTATTAAATTTCTTGCAAACTGATCTGATTTGTTATTATTTTCATATCTACATATATACTACATATGTATTTACGTATTAATTGTGCTATCTTAATCTCCTTTTCTAACTTAAAAAAATTACTTTTGTGTTTCCTTTCTTGGGATAAAATTAAATATTTTAAACTAGCACACATGTTTAAGCCATATAAAGAAGAAACATTCTTCATTCAATACCATATAAAATAGAATACGTGAAATGATTTAAAAGCTTATGTATATGTTCCAGTAAAAGTTGATAATTTGGAAATGTTAGTGGAATAAGATACTACAAGGGCAACAAGGTTATGTAGAAGTCTGTATAAAATGAGAAGACATAAAAATACAATCTTATACTTTTTCACCTGTAAGGCATAAGTTTTGAGGGGCTAATGTAATTTAATTTAGTTTAGTGTATATATAATTGTTTATGTTCCATTAATTTTCAAATATTTCAAGTCTGCTGCTGATTCTATGTGGGCAGAAGAATACTATATAACTGCGTATAAAATTACATTCTCTTTATTTATAAAATGGGGCTTGCATTTTGTGCAGAAATCCTTTCTGAATTTCCCTACTGAAAATGTACTGATGAATGGGGTGATATCCTTTCTGTAGGTGTTATGCTCGTCTGCACCCCCGTGCTGTGAACTGCAGGAAAAAGAAGTGTGGACACAGCAATCAGGTAAACCATTAGTATCCATCTTATTAGTTCATTTGTGTGAGCCACTACTCTATAAGACTTCGTCTTGTAGAAGTCATCGATGTTTGTGCTTTTAATTGTGCATCCGATTGACATTCACTATTTCTTGGTAATGCAGTTGAGGCCAAAGAAGAAGATCAAGTAGAGATGCTTATGTTGAGGGATGAAATTCTGCTTTTACTATTAGATTTCTGGTTGTTTTTTTAGGAAGGCATAGTTCTAAAAAACAAGAGATCTTGACTATCTTAAAGTTGGCTTTAAATTCGGCTTGAAAGTCGTCGTATTTGTGATTCTGTTTAATCTTTGATAATGAATTGTTGGTTTTTGATAAGATGGTGTCTTTTCTATGTTTTGATGCTTGCTGTTGCTTTTGCGTGCAAACACGGCACTCCAGTAATTATTATATCGTACTCATTTAAAATTATCTTTAGATGCTGCTTGTCTTTATAAAAAAAAAGTATGGTTGAGATTACGGCATTGGAAGTACAGTTAAATGGTTGAAACTTTTCTGAATTCTCCACTGAAGAAGCTAAAATAAAGGTTTAGAAATTTCCAAGGGTTTTGCATTTCAAAACTCGAGTTAGGAATGGGGTGCATAATGAGTTGAGTAGTTCATGTTCGAACTCGATTTGATCAAAACTCGGTCAGTACTTGACTCGGTTTGACTCAACTCGAGACCGTAATTGTTGAGTTGAGTAAAATCTAACTCGACCCAAAAAGCTCGCAGGCAACTCGTTAATCTTTTTTATAATTTTTTTTAGTAGTTTGATGATTGCAATTTGCAAGCAACAGTAAATAGAGTGAAGAGATATTTATTTCCTTATATTTAATATTGATTCTGTATCGTTAAACTTCTTTTTTTTATTCAAGAATATTTTTAAAATATTAGTTTGACGTATTTATGGATTGTTACTTTAGTTTTAACATGTTAGTTTGGTGTATGTGGTTTGTTATTTTGGAGTTTAGACTTTGAAATTATTTCGTACAATTTTTTTTATAATTATTTTGGTTAAATTTGTTGATTTATATTTTTATATTAAGTTTTATATAGTATTAATAGATTTTACTTATAGTTAAAAAACAAGGTAAAATTTTTAGTGACTTAACGAGCAACGAGTCGAGTCGAGCAGCAAAATTTTTTAACGAACATTGTTAAATTCACAAGTACATTGTTAAACTCACAATCGACTCGCTCGATAAGAACCCTAGTTAGGATCTGTAAAGAAAAATGTTAGATTAAACTTGAAGATCGTAAGAAGTTGTAATGAGTTTCTCTAGGGTCAAATGTAAGGAGATTTGTTATTTTTTTAGGATTATCCTAATAGTTACTTGGTAGATTTACGATTGAGTTTGAGAAATAAAAAATCACTCCATTTGAAAATATGGGATACATGAGTTTTGTTTTAATGTATAATATGATATTCTTTCTCATTAAAATTATCATTTAATTATTCTTCATGATCAAAATTTTTTAACTTTAATTTTTTTTATTTATAAGATTTATTATTGTTCATTTTTTATACATTTTTTAATCAAATAATTTTAAAATATATATTTTATAAAATCTAAACATTTAAAATAATTACGGTTTTAAACTTCTATCATTGAAAGTCAACTAATGATAATTTTAGTAGGACAAAAAGAATATATGAGTTCTAATTGCAGGCATCTCATTTTGTCCAAAGTCAACTTATTATTTTTTTCAATGATTAAACCTCTAATTTTTTTAATTAACTTGAGGTATGCATAAAGCAGTATCTGTTCAATCATTTATCATTGAACGCTTGTATTTTTGACATTCCTATTGCTCGAACCCGAGATCTCAAAGTATAACAATAATTCATTTATCATCAAAATTATTGGGTTCGTACTAAATAATAGTTGTCAATATTTAAATCAATTATTCAATTGGACTATCCCAAAACCATAACTTCAAAACCTACTTTTCCTAGCCATAGTTTAGTCGCATTCTCTCCCACAATAAATCACTAGTTTAATCTGTTTTCGTCACTCCCTAAATTTATATAGGCATGCTTCCTCTTAAAATTTTATAAAAAAAAATTAATAAAGCATGTGTTTATAGGATGCAATTTTTCAGTTGGTGTTCCCTGGCACATGTACTACCCTTATTTATGCCATGAGGTTCAGCAACCAATAAGCTAAGCTTCTTGAACTGAAAATGAAGAAAAGAGAATACTAGACGTTTTATGACCCTGTAAGAAGGTAATTTCTCTTAAAACAAACTCACACTTATGAACATGGAGTACATGTAGAATTAAAGACTTTCTCTTTTTTCATGGAATCGAATCTTGATGTTAATTTGTCGTAATCAGCTCTGAGTGTTATGTAATCTTGCTCGATCCGTTTTAACTTCCATCGAGCTAAGTCTGTTTTGAAACCATATAGCAGCCTGGCGAGGCCGGAGTCCGAGTTCTCTCGTAACCTGCAACTTATTTATCGGTTCGAGCGTGGTCTCGGATTCGAAAATGGTTTCGAGCAACCTGATCTGCTCGTCACTGAACCTCCTCTTGTTCTGCTGCTTCTTCCATGGAGTTTGAGGTTCCTGTTATGCTAATTCTTCACGTGCAACTGGATCATACTCTCTCCATTACTGGATCTATAAGGTTGCAACTTGTAAGAGAGCTTTATATAATTCATTTTTGATTTTGGTAAAGTACACAAATGGTCTCCGTTTATGAGTCGTTGTTTTGTTAAGTCTTCTACTATTATAAGTTATAAAATAGTCTATCGACTATAGGGTGTTGCTTTGTTAAATCTTCTTATTATTAAAAGTTACAAAATGACCACCTGAATATTCATATGTTTCGAACTCGTCCTTTTCTGTTAAAAAATTAGCGGTCGTCTGAGTTGGACATTAATTTATTGACTGAAATAGGATAAAATTTGATCCAAGAATCGTTTGAACTATATTTTACGAATTTGCTCTATGTTTAGATTATGTCATCGAGCCAAACTTGAAAGCAAGGACAATACTAGTCGACATCATTAAAATATGATTTTATCATATTTCAATCAACATGTTAATATCTAGTTCAGACATACATCAAAATTTTAACAAAAAAGATGAGTTTAGAACATATAAATAGTTGGGTGACCAATTATACTTTTTAATAATTGATGGACTCAACAAAACAACGCCTTATAATCGATAGATCATTTTATAACTTTTAAATTAAAAGACTTAACAAAATGACATCTAATAATCAGAGACTATTTGTATACTTTATTCTTTTTTGTTTATTTTAATATTACGATTGTAAGATTGGTTTCAAGTGATTAAGACTGTTGTTTGATGTGATCTCCTAACCAATAGGGCTAGCTATCGTATGACATTCTCTCTCCGTATCGTGTAAAATTTAGGTTTCAAAATTCTTTTATATCAAAAGAATGAGGATTTATTAAATATTTAAATTTAAAAAGTAAAAATGAATAAAACCTTATTTAATTAATATTTAAATTAAAAAATCTAAATAACCATTATACAAAAAAATTAAAAGTTGTTCTTTTTTAAAAATATTGTCTTAATAATATTAATTTATGTTATTCAAATATTGAAATTCTAAATTACAACCTTTCTGGTCTTATATAAATTAGGTTAAAATGTATTTTAAATTCATGTGCTAATCGTATATTAGAAATTTAACCCTTAGTTTTATTTTAAGGCACTCAATTCTTTTAGTTTTGGATTCAAAAATACTGCTAGCAACATTAAAATTCATTTGTTAGATTCAAATATGCTACAATATAGGTGGTAAACGAGTCGGGTCGGATTATTTTGGGTCTAGATTGTATTTACTTAAGGTTTGATCTATGTTGGATTAGATATAGTTCAAATTTTATTCGAATATATGGTAAGTTAGGTTTAGTCAATATTGAGTCAAATTAATTTTTAGAATCAGATCAATATCAAATCAATTAATTTTTGAATCGGATTCATATCGAATCGATCGAATAATTTCTGAATCGGATTCATATCAAATCGATTGATTTTCGAATTAGGTTAAAACCACAACGATTTTTTAAGATAGAATTATTTTATTCTGAAGTAAATGATGATGTTTTTAATAAGGGGTATTATGTGTCTCTTCGTCATGCATAATTGTGTCTTCGAATCCCATTTTTTCATCGAAAATTAATATTATCATTTTAATCATTCTTATATTTTATTAAAATATATAGGTATAATGATATGTGAGACCCTCAAACTTTTCCAAAGAAATTAATGTAGCCTTCAAACTATTTTTACACTCAATATGGTTCTCAAACTCAGAAAAAAAAAGACACAATGTGACCCTTTAACTAACCATTTCATCATTGATTATTATTTATTACGATGTTAACGTGATAGTTCATAGTGTTGACATGATTGTTAACGATGTTGTTGTGGTTGTCCACGGTGGTTGATGACGTAGTTGATGGGCTAAATTAATTTTGTTTGGTTGAGTTCAATGGCCAAATTGATTTTTGAGAAAGTTCAAGGGATTATTTGATTTTTTTAAATAAAAATATTCTAAATTTAAAATATAAAAATATTAAAAAATTAAATTACTAAATTATTTTAAAAATATATTTAAAATACTCAAAGTATTATTCATATCAACTTGAACTCTATGTGACCATGAAACATGGTCATGCCCATGTATACCTTCAATAAAAAAGAGATACTATAAAGCAGTTTCCTACGGTGCTTAGTCTCGAAAGAAATAAGAATATCATCTATTGAGTCATCACATGAGTCAACAACTTTGATCTAAGCATAAAAACATGGGACTAAAAGGAAAAGTGTCAGCCCAATGATGAAATATCAAGCATAACAAAATATATGGCATGCACGTGTTTACAAAGATCTAAAGCAAGATATCTAATATATGCCACATCATCAACCATCATGGACCACCATATCGGCACCGTAAATTATCACATTAACATCATAACGATCAACGAAGGAAACCGTTTGTCAAACGACCACATTAAATTTTTTTCTAAGTTTAAGGATCACATTGAGTATAAAAATAGTTTGAGTGTTCAAGCGAAGATCGTTTATCAATGGTGCTTTCGAGCTTAATGGTGGTGTACCATGGCAGGACAACTGCAGCAGCATTATCCTGTATAAGATTATAAATGCAACTTTGAAACGATTATTTTAATCACTAATAGCAAATATATTGCCGAGATTCAACCAAAGAGATGACAAAAGAACCGAAGTTATCCCCTACACATGTATTCACCTACCAAAATAAAAACAGATCAGAGGCAGAAAAGTACTGGAAAGGCTCTACAAAATATGAACACCGGGGAGGGTATAAGTATTAGCCATGTTTACATCCTTTAAGCCCTCATGCTTGCTTTCACTCTATCTAATGTTGGCCATATGCTGAATTTCTGAAGCCTTCGCCCGCACCATCTTCCGAGCTATCTTGTCTGTTTCCTTGAATGTTCATGAAATTGTTACCAATCCCAGCTTGCACCCCATGATATGTGCCACCAGGGGCAGCAGCAGATCTTAGCCCCCCTTGTGGCTGGTTTAATTGCTGCTGTTGGAGATACATCGACTGCTCAGGTTGCTGCTGCTGGTGATCATTCAAATGGAAAGGCAACTTTGGAGCTAAGAAACCTGAATGCTGCTTAGCCATTGCAGCTTGTGCAGACTGAACATGTTGCTCTTGCTGCATCACAGGCTGCTGAGGTGTCTGCAATGATCCACAAATGAGTTCAAATAAAATGCATATTGGCTTATCCAAAGATATTAAACTGAAGAAAGCTCCAAGACACAACCTGGGAAGATGCCGATCCCTGTGGCTGTGCATCAGCAATTTTAGCTAGATACATTAGGTTCTGCTGCAGTTTTGCTTGATACCTGAATCATTGTTTTTAAAAATGAGAGCAGATATCACAACTTACTGTACTGATTAACCAACTGCATTACTCACAAAGACTTAAATACACAGATCTACCCTAGTTATTCCACCATGGCGGTCACTGTTCTTCAGTTCCTTAAATTATAGGCAAACCAATGGTAAACAATTATTCATCTCATCTTAAAATATAGATGACCAAATGTTAATAGGCATGTATATGTTGTTTTCAACTTTTTACCCTGTCAATTTTTAAATGCATCATTGATAACACACACACACACACACACACAAAAAAAGCCTACAAGTTTAGCACTAAACTAGCACTGAATTGCACATGCAACTTAAAAACTTAATTACACAAAAATAATGTTTCTGGTGAAGAACTCGATCTCAAAGATTAGCAAACCAATGGAGGCCTAGTAAACTCACAAACTTTTCCCTAGTGGTTAAATAGGAGGCCTATAACAACTGGTATAATGCTGTAAGTAATGGATGAATGAAAATGGTCTAAACATTCGGCTCAACAACAAAAACGGGACAGCAAAGAGCCTATAACAATGGGTCTAAACATTCGGCTCGACAACAAAAACTGGACAGCAAAGAGCTTATAACACTTGGTATAATGCTGAAAGTAATGTATGAATGAAATTGGTCTAAACATTCAGCTCGACAACAAAAACCGAACAGCACAGATCCTATAACAATTGAAAAAATGCTGTGAGTAAAGAATAAGAACGATGTTTAAAAAGGGTCACTCACGAGGCACTCTCAGCCATCTTCCCCTGGTTTTGGTTCTCCATTATAGCCATAATCAGCTCTTTATTCTCGTCCAGATACTACAAGAAACATGATCCATTATCGTATCAATATTCAAAGAAGATATATAATTTTTTTTTCAAGAAACAAAAAGAAAACTTAGAAAATCAACAACGGTTCACAGTTACTTTAACCAGTGAAACTAAGAAAACAAATGACATGATTGTGAAACTATGGTAAATATGATCAAGAATGCCAAGAATCCAAAAGAAATTCAATTTGATTAAAGATAATACATAGAAAAAACAATGCATGCAAAACCCATCAATAAAAACACATTAAATATAACGAAAGGGCAATGGTGTAAAGATAAAAAAAAAACCTTTTGAATCTGTTCAGTGGTGATGTTCATCAACTGTTGAGGCTGCTGCATATTTTCCTCTTCAAAATCACACACAAATAGGACAAAGAAGAAGAAACGAAAGGAACCCAAACCCTAAGTTTTCTTTAAAACGGAAGAAGGGGGGCAAATTGGGCTGTTTTGCTCTACACTGAAACGTGTAATTTTGCAGTCTCTTTTATATATTGGCTTTGCCTCTGCTTAACAGCGCACAGACAAATTTTTACATCATTAATAATATTTAACCTCTAGAGGAAAAAAAGGAAATACGTGGTACAAAACGACAACGTCAGGTGCCGTTTTAAAGTTTCTTATAGTTCTCAAGGACAGAATGTTAAAAACAGTCCCAAATGTATATTAAAATGGTCATTTTCACCCCTATTATTTTTTACTAGAGCATTTTGGCCCCTACGTTTCATTTTGAGATAAAAAGTTCTGTCTATAGATGAAAACTATTAGTTAACACACAATCAATGATCTAAAATATGATCATTTTTTAACTTAAAATAAAATGTTTTGATGGCTAAAATGCAAAAAATAAAAAGAATAAGGGACAAAGTGATTATTATGTCAAATGTTAGGGATCTTTTTGCTCTAAAATGAAATATTTGAAGCCAAGATACTTCAAAAAAAAAGATATAATGACCATTTTTATAAACGTTACGGCTAATTTTGCCTTCTCAAAACAGGGAATTTTCATGTTTATCTTGGGTAAAATACACAAATGTCTACCCGACTATAAGGTGATGTTTTGTTGAGTCCCTAACTATGAAAAATTACAAAATGATTTTTGACTATAGTGCATTGCTTTGTTGAGTTCATTGACTATTAAAAGTTACAAAATTGTATCTCGGCTATTCATATGTTTCAAACATGTAATTTTTTGTTAAAATTTTGACATAATTCTAAACTAAAATTTAACCTGCTGACGTAATATGGTAAAATCAGATCCCAAAATCTCAAACAATTATCATATTCCAGTCAACAGTTTAACGTCCAACTCAGACTATTGTCAATTTTTTAACAGAAAATGATGAGTTTGGAACATATGACTAGTCAATATAAAATTATTTTATAACTTTTAATAGTTGGGACTCAATAAAATAATATTTTATAAGTGAATACCATTTGTATACTTTACCCTTTTATTTTTATGTTAAAAAAATATAGCATAACAATGAGAAAGGAGGAGAAGAAAAAGGAAGGGGGAAGATCAAAGATGAGGCACGTATTGAGGGTTAGATTGGCTTCATTCTTCGCGGGGGCAGCAACGGCGTCGTTTCTGGGTTTCTACATCCTCTATAAGGATTACATGGTTGCCCATGAATCCATCACCCAACAAATACTCCTCCGTACTCCCCCTTTCCCCTTTTCTTTCATAGCATATGCCTTACCTTTCAATTTCTTAGCATATGCCTTACCTTTCAACTTATCATGGAAATCATGGATTAATTTCTGGGTATTCGGATTTATGCTCATTTGTAAAAGTTTGAAGGAATGTGTAAGCTTGGAAAACGGATTTCCTTTGTAAAAGAATATGTTTGTTGTTCTTTGTTCTGGTGTAGGGTGATAGTGTGTTTCAGATCTCTCTTAGATTGAAATTCATAGTCTGAATTAACACAATCATAGCAGTCTTCTGTTTTTTCGGTAAGGGATTAGAAAAATGCTATTTTGCATTTAAAGGTTCGGTTTTCATGCATAAGAGCTTTGACAAGGCAAATCCTAGTAAAATATCACACTGCTTAGCTAACATTGCAAGCTAATGAAATGTTTTCTTGAGGCCTTTAGTTTAAATGGGATTTCTTTTTCAAGTCTCTATGTTTCATCTTGATTCTTGGACTAATTCCTATTTTCAGACTATTAGCTCCTTTTTGCCTTTCTTCTGGACTTTGGCTATGTTTATGTTGTTCCTACCTGTTTTTCAACGTCTTTTATCTAATGTTTGTTCTCTATTGTGCCTTGAAAAACCATTACAACAATGAAATCATAAAATGTAAATATCATGAAGGATAGTATGGTATGAGAAAGAATGTTAACACCTAATGCATGATTTATATCAAATGGTCCTATTACTTGATAATCCCATTTAGACTCTCATTCCAATGAGTCACTATTTCCTCTTGTGAACAGAATATTCATAAGGCAAGTAAGTGATTTATGGAGAATTACCTATGTTTTACTGAACAGAATACTCAAAAAATGGATAGTTTTTTTCTTTCTGTTTGTTGGTTGAATTGGTTCAGTCTCTTTAGCTATGTTGTGTGCTTATATTTCGCATTTTTCCCTTTGTTTCAAGCTGAAAAGTCTTCATGAGCTCCTGGATAGGCGAATCTCTGCTTTGGAAAGTTTGAAACAGGCTGAAACTTCACAACAAGCGGAAGCAACAGAGTATAATGTTTCCTAACAATGAAATTGGTTCATTTCTCCTTTCGGACCTATTGTAATAAACAAATATCTGTAGCTGAAGTTTCATGTGTACTTCTTTGTGGGAATACACTGCCTTTTGACATGATTTCCCTCGTTTATTCGGGTTTATTTTTTTATACTTTATGGAACAATGATTGCATTTTGAAATTGAAGTTTTAGTGAACTCAGTCTGGTTAACTTGATGAAATGCTGTGTTATACCTTACCAGTTATTTAGTTGTTAACTGATTAATTGTACCATGATTACGGAGTATTACCATTGTTTCTATCTATACATTTTAATAGAACAACAAAGAGGGTTGATGCTTAAATAGTTTGCTCATTCTCTGTTCTATTTCCCCAAAAACTGTTTGTTTAGCTATTCCAAGAGAGCCCCATTGAAAAACATGAGAACCTACCGACTACGGTTGCTGGAAAAATAATTCGGATCTGCAGCATGTTATTGATTTACAATTTTGCTTAAGAAAATTAACTATACAGGATATAAAATAACACATTCCTTATTAGTAAATAATTGAGAGTAGTGTTAAGCTCAGTGGACTCTAATAACATATTCCTTTTGGAATAATTGCTTATGACAGACGTTTTTTGACATATCCCAATTTGTCCTTTACTGTGGTTGAACTCGAAGGCCTCTGCTTCGGTGCACTTTGGGACCGAAACTGAGCCTTAGCAGATAATGTGGCTGCCATATAGTTTGGGATTCCTGCTGAAACACCAGCTTTGTTACCACTCATTCTATGGGTGTAAGATTCTGGGTTGGGCGTATGAGCTGGGGATGGGTGGCTCTTCTCTTCTTTAAGGCAGCGAGGGCTACCTGATTACATTTGGATAGGCTTTGGTTTTGATGGCGTGATTGAGCGAATGGGGAGACCCTTGCTGGCTTTGTAGAGAGGGGATACCTCAGAAAATGAACTAGGCCCCTGTTGTCGGTAGGAGTACGGTCTAGCAGTAGAGATGCACATAGCCGGATTTAAATCCGATCCGGATCGGTTTTTAACCGATCCGGTTTTTTTACTAAGCCAAAAAATCGGTTTATAAAAAAACGGGTTCGGATCATAACCGGTTTGGAGGGCCGGATGATGTAACCGACGTAACCGGTTTCGGTTTGAAAAAAATCGGTTTTTTTAAAAAACCGGTTTTTAATCTGGTAAAAAATTCGGTCATCCAATTTTTTAAACCTCAGACCGGATTTTTAAACCCCAGACCGGATTTTTTTCGGGATAAAAACTGGTTTTTATCCGATTTTTTTCAAACCGGTTTTTAATCCAGTAAAAAATCCGGTCGTCCAATTTTTTTCCAAATCGGTTATACTATCCGGTTTTAAAATATCCGATTCGGTTTAAAAAAACTGATTTTTCCCAAATCCGATTTCGGATATTTTTTACGTAAAAACGGATATTCATATTTTTTGTGCACCTCTATCTAGCAGTATCGACTTCAACGGTTTTCCCTCCACTTCTTCCTCACTTTCGACTGTGTTTCCCTCTGTGCTCCAAATCTGTTCCCCCCCCCCCCCATGAAACAGATGCATAATCTGTTTTCCCCTTCACTTCTATCTCACTTTCGACTGTGTTTCATCAGTTATTTTGTAAATTTAGCAAACAACACAGGTCAGAGATCGAAACATCATTCAACCTGGTGGAAGAAGGCATGCGCAAGATCCTTTTCACATTTCGAGGTAGCTTCCTTTGTTTTCTGCAAAATGGCTCGAATCTCATCCAGTGTTTTCGGGTGCCAGTTGTCGTTACCGTTTTTTGCCCAGGTGGGAAAAAAACCAGTTATGACTTGGGGTTTTTCTTTGAAAAGATTTTGAAATGTGAGGGGTCGCCACCAATCAATTTTAAGGTGCGATCGGGACACCATAAAAACCGGGTGATTTTCATAAAAAATTTATTTTAACAAAATACTAAGTTTAGGGTCTACGAACCAGAAAATAGCTTCGACAGTCAGTTACGGGTGAGGAAGGATTAGCATCCACACAGCGCCAAAAAATTAGTACCTAGTTGATTATCCTATATTTATAATCGAAATTTTGAGTTCGAACTTTATCTAATTAAAAATCGTTTATTAAAGCCAATAACATTCGCCCCCTAGCGTGAATGCGGGAGATCAACTATTGTGCCCAATAATCGGACATTGCCTTGATATTTTAGAAATCATGTTGCAGTCTTGAAAAGGATGTCGAACTATTTCGAAAATCACAAGTAGTCACTCCCTGAGCATACTTGCGGGAGATATACTATTGACTCCTAAATAAGTGAACATTGCCTCAGATTTTAAATCAAGATACAATCAAACAGTTTATTATGAACCCTAATTAAACTAAGAGTAGATTAAGATTTTCTCTATCTTAAAGTGTCGAATTATGAAATTAAAGAGCCTAGAGGCATAAACCTAAAAATGTAGGCTTTAATATTAATCCTACTTGATTTTAACCAGTTATTAAATAGAATAATCAATATGGTCCTTTGAGCATTTTGGCGAGGGCCAACTCAGATTACTCCTTAAATTAAAGGGACTAAATTGAAATCTAATCTAAAGAGGAAGCTCTAATTAATAACCACTTTAATTATGTTAACTTAAAATTTTAATTAAAAGTTTAAGGACTAAAATGCAAGGAAACTAAAGTCCAAAGACATAAGTATAAATAAACTAAAGTAAAAGGACTAAGTCTATAACACCTAATATTTAAGGACTAACCAATAAATCAAGGATCTAATAATTATCCTAATTAACTATTTAAAAATTAAAGGGATTGAATTAAATAAGTTCTAAAATTAGTAATTAACAATTTGGGGATTTGAACAACCAACTCTAGTAATCTAGCATTTTATTTAAAAATTTGAATCGAATTGTTCCATAATTAAAACTAAGGTAAAACCCAAATTACTAAATCAAATTTTACGTTTACAGATCTAATCTAAAGACAAATTCTAAAAAGCTAATTAAATTAAATAAATATAATGTGGCATACTTTTTAAAAATCAAACAAACAATTATATAAATTAAATGCAAGAAATAAACAAACAAACATATTTTAATTGAAATCTAATAAATTACATCTAAAGAGACTGAATCGAATTGACATCAAATTAAGAAGATTAAAAAAATTTGAACATGTAATAAAAGGACCAAATTAAAATAAATTAAAAATTGAGTATCTGAATCAAAACAAAATAAAAAATAGGTTAAGTGAACCAAATACTAAAATAACGAAAATATGAAATCCAACTATTAAATTAAATAATCACTGCAGGTGACCAGAATGTAAAAATACGCTAAAACTAAGGGGACATGAACATAATTATACCAATCAATATATAGTATAAAAAGGAGGAAATAACGAAACGAGTGCAAATTAAAAGGGAAAAATAATAGTTTTGGTCCTCGTAGGTGACCAAAATTCAAAAATACAGGAATCTTAAGGGGACTTAAACATGATTTTACCTCAATCCCCTATAAAACACATATCTTTTTTTCATTTTAAACCAAATGATGCTATTCTTTTCAATCTACACTCCTAAGTCCCGATCTGAGGTTAAAATAACCAAATACTACTCCTAAGCACCCCAAAAGACCCTCTAAACGCTTCATCTTCCCTACCTCCGGCCACTGCGAAGACTACCTAAAATCTAGATCTAAAAACAAATCCCTATACTCCTCCTTACTCCAGAAAAACCCATAAAATAGGTAAAGATCTTTATTTTTTTCTTTTTTTTTATGTATTTTGAAATATGCTGAAAAAAATAAATTTTTTTACCTTCAAAAAAATTGCTTTCTATTGCTTTTATGAAAAACAAAAGAGGGTCCCCTTTTTTACAACTGTCGTTCGGGTTTTATACCCATCTTTTACAGATATAAAAGTAAAAAAAAATAAAACCTAATCTATATTGCACTATGACATTTTGTGCATGGTTGTTGATGATGGTTATGACAGGGAATGGTCTCCCAATCGGGTAGATAAGGTCATTTAATGCCTTAACATTCTCTTGATTTTTGTTGGATTTGCCACTGTTGAGCCTGATTTTGGGTGAGAAATGAGTACTTCGGGTTGTTGGTTTCTTGCCAGGGGTTGTCACGGTGGCCGAAGCAGCTGTCGGTGGCAGTAGTGGAGATCCTCGTTTGCGGTGGCGGTGGCTGAAGATATTAGGATTAAGGTTAGTTTGGTTTCGGCTAGGGTTTGTAATTGGGCCCGAGTTTATATGTTGGGTAAATGGGTTTGTAATAATAATATTTTATTTATTTGTAATAATAATAATAATAATAGTTGAAAATGGTGATTACAGCTGCCCCTATTTGCTCATTGCATTGGAACGAGAATAGAGCAAAGACACAAAGCACCATTTTTCAACGTGATCATTGAGAACTACTCGCTGGGGATGTCAATTCACCTCCTTTTGCGATAGATAAGACCTGATTGAACAAGTTGTTCTTATTACGAACTTTTTCTCCCTCATTGGATGAGTTTTTCTCATTACGAACCCTTTTATTGGAAATATTGATCCACCTCCTTCTATGATGGAATCGTCGAGTCTTCACTACAAATGATGTCATCTTTGCTTTGTTCTCTTGGATCTCACACCAGAGTTCTTCCTTGATCCTCCATCGATTCATCCTCTCATCCTACAATTTAATGGATTGCCTCTATGAGTATTTGAAAATCTTCTCTTCCGGCTTGCTCCAACCTCACAAATGACGAACCTGAGAAGAATACATCTACCATTAATTATCATGCCTAGGAATTTATTATTATTCTTCTTCTTTTTCTTTTGGACTTCTTTCATTTTTTTTTTGCATTTCTCATTTTTTAGCATATTTTGTTTTTTTTCTTTTTTCTTTTTTTATATATTTTTAAACACCATATGAAAACATTGTACCTGAAGGTCTTACAGATGGGTCGAAGGACTTATCATATTGCTTAAAAGGCTTATAGATGACCCGAAAGATTTAGGCATCATGCTCAAAAGACTTACTGATGGCCCGAATGACTTATTAAGTAAGAAACGTTGGAAATCATTTTCTTACTTTTCAAAAAAATCAATTTTCATAAAAGATTTAAATGAGAAACTTTGAAAATTTGCTTTCTCATTTTTT